GCGTGTGATATCGACAAAGGAAAAATCTATTTTAAAAGTTTACGTTTTGTCAAAAAACTTGTAAATAATTATTATCAGAGCCCAAATAATTATACAAGATGTGTTTTCGATTGTAATAAGAACTTTTAGATATGGATTCTGTCTCAGTTGCTTTGCCGAAACGTGGTACCAACTGTACGGTACTTATTTACCAGTTTTGAGGAGATTTACCTAAATAGGTTCTATCGTTTTACGATGTTACGAAGAACTTCTTAATGTTCATTATCTGGTGTTGTAAACGCATTGAATTGTTATTTCCAAAACAAACAGCTTTAAAGGGTTTTGCCATAAACGTCTTGAAAGGTTTAGATTGTAAGAAGCAGTCTAATGTTTTGAGAAAAACATGTTTATCTCTTGACAATGCGTTAGTCACTGTGGGAAAATAGGTCACATCGCACCAAGATCGCATCATCTGGTACTCTCCGACCCAGAGCTCGATCAGAGACAATTGTCTTATTTTGTCTCTGCTGACTAGTATGAGGCTAATTGTAATCGGCCTATCAGCTTCGAGAGGCCTTGGACAGACAGGTTGTAAGTGGTCTTTATCCCAAATCATCAGTGGTGATTCTGTGTCAAGAAATTTCCATCTTTAGATTCTTTTGTAACCTCAAAATTCAACAAATAAATTCTCTGCATTTATGGACTCGGAAGATCCATGCGACGAACAAGCACGCAGTGATCATAAGTAGATTACATTTTCTGTTTCCCACTCGTTCTACAAGGTCACCTGTACTTTGTATTTGTCCAAGGGCAAATGGTAATTCTGTCGTAACTGCTTCAATAATCAGCAATGTATAATTGTTTTCGTATTATTCTCACAATAAACAGCGATTATTTACTTAAACAGCGTTAACCAGTTGATCTATGTAATGGTGAAGCGTGGTGTTTTCTTCGCGGTACGGACTGAATTCTTAAATACGTAATATTTAGACGAGCTTTGACTTAAAAGGGTTAACCAGTTGATCTATGTAATGGTGAAGCGTGGTGTTTTCTTCGCGGTACGGACTGAATTCTTAAATACGTAATATTTAGACGAGCTTTGACTTAAAAGGGTTAACCAGTTGATCTATGTAATGGTGAAGCGTGGTGTTTTCTTCGCGGTACGGACTGAATTCTTAAATACGTAATATTTAGACGAGCTTTGACTTAAAAGGGTTAACCAGTTGATCTATGTAACGGTGAAGCGTGGTGTTTTCTTCGCGGTACGGACTGAATTCTTAAATACGTAATATTTAGACGAGCTTTGACTTAAAAGGGTTAACCAGTTGATCTATGTAATGGTGAAGCGTGGTGTTTTCTTCGCGGTACGGACTGAATTCTTAAATATTAAATGCGTGCATCGCTGACCGCGGTGGACATTTCCAGAACTTTCTATAAAAGCGTTGTTTAATTTCTAATTTAAATATATTAATATTTTTTTTTACAAACAGGACATGTGCCAGGAATGTATTCGTCATTTCGTATATCTTATACCAAACGACATTCAACTAGTGAGTCACGAAAAAGCTTGAATATGAAACACGAAAAGAGAATTCCGTGATTGCCTAGGAAGCCGCCTAGAGGTCAGCACGGTCTTGGGCCTGGATTTTTGATTTGGCAAAACAAGGCCAGAAATACTTTTCTGTAATTTGTACGGGATCCAATAACGAAAAGGACTATTAATTGTACAGAATAAGAAGAAGTTGGTGAGCTTGTCACAGCAGGGAAGATAATGATCTGGGTTGTGATGCTATGAGGACTTGCAGGTAGATACCAACGTTTCGGAGAAATATACTGTTGCCATCTTCAGGGCCGAATTGATTATTCAAGTTCTTCCTAACAAATAAAAACCCAAATAAATCTAATTTCTTTTGTTATATTGATGAAATCAAAGCTTACAAATACTCTTAAAGTTAGTTTTGGAACATTTTGTATATCATGCGGGGATGGACGAAGTGCTAACTAGAGGTCCAGTTACACAGGGATCTGATCCAACTGTAACAGTAATAACCATGAACTATTTGGAGTACATTGACATACCAGAGATGTTATTCGCGCCACATCACTTAGGTCGTTGTTTCGCGACAGTGAAAGTCTTTGATCCTACTGCTTTTGTAAAAGTGGGACCGGAAGTCCCATTGTTGCTACGATTGCGATAGTCAGACATGGATGGCCCCATAAGGTGTACGATTCAGCGGAAAGAACACCTAAACCAGGGGGTTCTCAATCTGAGACGCTCTGATGAGGTTTGTGCGGCCCTGGTACATTTTTCTAATGGCTGACCTACTTTGATAGATATCTCGATATAAGAGTGTCGGTCTGAAGAAGGTTGAGTTCTCCTGACCTGAACAAGTCTTGAAAATGTCCAAGGAAATGTCAAATTTGACGTGAAATGTTCCCCAATACTGCTGTATACTAACTACACAATTCCTTATATGGAGTAACAAATGCTATTTTTGCTAGAAAATGCTGGTTCGAGAGACATTTGCATACCACCAGGACTAAAGACACCATAGAGAACCAGTACCAACGCACTCCCTCATTTTATGGTGCAGGTTTGAAAAGTCGATTGTTGTTATGTTAACCTTTTTCTGTGACTTGTTACTGTTGTCCCCAAGTACTTGAATTTTGTCACATCTTCGAACGGTTCATTAGCTATCTTTATATTCTGGTTCTGTCCTCAATTCTGATACCGAATCATATCATATACTTTGTCTTTTCTGCTATTATTTCTAGATCACTGTGCATGGCCATGAAATATTACACACAGCCATTACACTGAATAACTAAGTATATCGAAATGAAAATCGATTTCCTCTTCCATGGGGTTAAGGAATGTGCATTTATCTATGGTAACATGTGGACTGTTCTGTGATCATGAATTAAGTTCGTAAATATGTTTTGTCGTAGTTGTAATATGTCATTCAAAGCACAGTGCATATCGAAAATAAACATACTAAGACATATAACAAACCAGACTACGGGAGGTAATGACTTATAATTTTACATGTAGAAAAATTCGGTTGGTTACCGAATTGCATTAATGCAAATTTTCCTCTTGTTCTCTCGTTTTACGTAGTGTTTATTCCGGTTTTCAATTCCACTTCATTCCTAATGATTATTGTGTTATTAGCCTTCAATGAATTTAGCAATTGCTACAACCATTCGAATCGTCAATGCAGTTATTGATTCTCGCCTAACATAACCTCAAAATATAATTCGAGCGCTTGCTACAAATAATTGTTTTGATTTATGATATAAAGATTTCAGAGTGACTGATGTTAAGAAAATTATTCTCAGTCTATCATCAGTGTCAGTTGGTTAAAAATCACCGACGTTTTAAGCACCTCCCTTTCTCCATCATTGGGGTAATGATGTATTAGCCTTGATGATGGGAACAGAGATGGTACTAGAAACGATGGTGATTTTTAACCAACTGGCACTGGTGATAGACCCAAAATATTTTATTAATTTGTGCTTGTTCAGTTCCTAATGGTGGCCGACATGTTTATTTCCAGTCGAGAGAGATCCTGCACCTGTTTTCTTTAATGCAAATGTTCAGCAACTCCTTAAGAAGTTGACACGAGTGGACTTAAGGACAGTTTTTCGTACAAAGAGATATGGTGTGGCGTTAAAAACGCCAGAATATAAGTTCTTGACAGCAGAAGAGCTGAATATGGTAATTTGTTAAATTATATTATTGTTGTTATTGTAAGGTGTTGTGTGTTCATTATGGCAGTCTCTTAGGAGGCTGTATTTCTGTGTCCTTCTCAGACTCTGGAGGTAAGAGCTGTTTGAACTTGAGATTAGATAATTCTGTAGATTAGTTGTAATTATATTTTCATGTTACCAGGTTAATGATGTTTGGAATTTTTCATATTCTGAACTAGGTCTTGTAAAATATAGTTTTATTTTCTGGAATCTTCTACATCTTAAGTAAATGAATCATTACTTTCAGAGGTTGTATAACATCATCAAGATCATTATGACTGATGTATAGAGGGGAAGTGATTATGGTTTGTTCACGCAGGATAAAGTGGCCAAGTGTAGTGTCCCATTTTGTTCTTAGCGTAGAATATGCAAGTCCCTGTACATTGTTTAAAACATATGACAGTGAACTGAGAGACAACTTTGCCTTTTCTTACATAAGAAAGTTATAATTTTGTTGTGTGCAAGGAATACTCATAATTTGACTCTCTGAAGGAGTGAGGTGTAGAAAAATCAACCCAGAACAACAACAACAGCGATTTCCAAGATGCTGATTATTATCAGGATATGCAAAGGAATTATTAAGTCTGTTGTTTTGTGTGGGTGTGAATCTTGAGCACAGAAATCGAGAAAAGATTGTAATTATCTTTTAACAAAGTGTGCAGGAAGATATTTTGACCCAAATAGGATGAAGTAACTTAAAAAAATTAGGGTTTTAAAAAAATAATTTATACAAGTCACTCAGTATTGTTAAGTAACTCCAGGGAACTCTTGAGAAGTTGATAGTCACTCAGCTGGTCAAGATATTCCACACCATTTATGGGACCCAGACGATAGGCTGGGCATTTAGCTGCTGTGGTGAGAGGCGATGAAAGCGTACAGAATTTGGGTGGGAAAACTTGAGAAATTGGCACATGGAGGACAGAGAAGAAGATGGAGAGGTAAGAGCATGAGGATCTTAGAGAAGCAGGGTGTGAGAGATGAGGGTGGGTGGTTTTTATTCAAGATTGTGTCTAATAGGATTTTTTGATATTAAAAGCAGTAAAATTGTCCCACTATACGCCATGCAGGCACTTGGGCGGAGAGGCAGTATAGCTCCTACTAATTGTTAACCTCGGCACTAGATAAGGGTGAGTGGTCAGCATCACACCCCAGCCGTGCTTTACCCCCAGGAAAGGACCCCAGTACCCATTGGATAGGAGGCTGGGTGGGCCCCAGAGCCGGTCTGGACGCAGAGGCTAGAGGAAAAATCCTCTACCCGCGTCGGGGATCGAACCCCGGTCGCCCAGTCCGTAGCCAGTCACTATACCGTTCGGTTCTTCTGTAGTAGTGTTGGTTACTTTGATAACTGCTGAAGGATGTGAAACCGTGTTTCATGTCTTTGTGCGTAGGTCATGAAAGAGGCACAAGAAAAGGCAGAGCAGAAATTACAGATGCCGCCAGTGGTCAAGGCCCACGTTGATGAACCAGAAGTCCTGTCGTATGATTATGAGCTCCAGAAACATTCAGAGACGAAGTTTGTCTTCACAGATATCTCATTTGGCATTTCTGACGTGGTAAGATGTTACTGAAATGTTGCTCAGAATACACACATTAAATTTTAAAATCTAATTAAACTTTTAAAGTGACTCTGACTTGATTTATCATTGTGAATTTATACTTTAGTTTTTACCAAAATTTACTCTGCTTTGTTGGCCTTATTTGTGAATCCTTAAGATTTAATATTTAAAGTTTAAATAAATAACAGTGTGTCTGTAATATAAAGGGCAGAATGAGTATGTGGTGTGTGTGTGTATATATTTCATTGAAGGAACGGACGATAGTCGTTCGTGATCTAAACGGAGTGTTGCGGAAAGCAACGCCTGATGAACGGCTTCGCATGAATGAGACTTACTTTCCCAAACCTGGAAGAAAAATCAGAATGCCTCACATGTTTGAAAAGGAATACTTAAAGGTAAGTCTGGCTATGCAGAAGGTCCAAGGGGAGCCTTTGTTTAATACGCAAAATTCTTTTAATAAAATTATAGTTTAATAAGAAATTACAAACATTTCTATAAATGTGGTTCAGAGTATTTATATTGTGTTGAAAATTATAAAAATAATGGCTCAAAATATTCTTCCATTTCTTGACTGTTACTTCGGTCTTCCGGTGCCTAATATTTTCTTCCATTCTTCAATATTTTTCCATCCTTCCGGAGGTAGTTTCCACTCTATCATGGTTCTTGTAATTCTGTCGTTCCGTCCTTGTCTCGGTCTCCCTCTCTTCCTTCTCTCTTTTGGTTGCCATTTCATGGTCATTTTTGGTAACCTTTCCTCCTCCATCCTTTGCACGTGTCTGTACCAAATCAGTTATCTTTTCTCCGTCTCCTTTATCTCGATCCACCCTCATGATTTCTCTAATCCTTTCGTTTCTCACTCTCTCTCTTCTGGATATTCCAGCCGCTCTTCTTAGAAAATCCATTTCCATTATTCTCAACTTATTTATTTGTTCCGAGAGTTGCCAAATTTGTGCTCCATATAGAGCCACGCTTTGTACCATCATTTTATATAATCTCTCTTTCGTTCTTTTTGTGATATTTTTGTCCCATAATATTGGGTTGAGGGCTGCTATGAGTCTCCTTCCTCTGTTTCAATTTCATACATCCCTTGGTTCCCTATCATCGCTTCTAGATATTCAATCTTTTCTGTCCTCTTTATTACCTCTCCCATTTCCATTATCAGTGCATCATTAGTATTTCCTAAATTTCAGTCTTATCTAAATTTAATGTTAATCCCAAGATTTCATATTCTTCTTTTACTTTTCTCATCATAAATTCCAGGTCTGCTTCTGTTTGTGCTATTATCACTTGATCATCAGCGAATTGTAGTGTATACATTGTCGTATCTTCGTTCAATGGTGTGCCCATTCCCTTACACCTTTTTAATACTTCAATTATCTTTAAGGAGTAGTAAATAATGTTGAATCCCACTTGGTTTAGTTGTCAGAAGGGAAGGGGTATTTTTATGTTTGCTGTAACAACCCTTACAACTTGGGAACTGGTGTGAGTTCTTCTTCTTCTTCTTCTGTGGCTCTCCGGTCCGTATTCGGTCCATGGCCTCCTCAATTCTCCTCTCCCATTCGGTGCTCTGTTAGGTCCGTCTGTCCGAGGCTCCGATCGAGGTTTCGAAACATCTTCCTTTTTACGGCTCAAGGTTGTTAGCCTTGCGACCAACCCCCAACCTGGAGGACCAGGGTACCTGTCTTAGTCTGACCTCTCCCCCTCGACCAATCTGGCTAGGGATGCCCTACCAGTAGCTCTTGGTACTCAAGCCCCACGACCATGACAAGGTGCAGGTACCATTAAGTAGGGGAGAAACAAACTGAACACTTCATTTCATCAGTCTCCAAGAGATGTCAGAAGTTTACAGTCCTTTAGCTGAATATAAAATTTGCTGACAGAAAATGGAAAAAATATTGATATGTTTATTCTGAAGATGGTGGTATATTCAAAACGGTTAAGGGGGTCTTGTTTAATTGAGTAAAAAATGATACCAAATGAAGATGTAGAATCACCCTGATATGATGCTTGTCTGCGTAGCGGCTGCTAGACCAAGGCAAGTACGAATTTGTGCTGGACCGAGCGTGCCTGCAGTTTGAGCCAGATCAGCCAATTTACCAGGACATAACGGCTACAACATACGAAGCAGTTGATACAGCCAGACACTACAGTTCGTTGCGGTCCACGCGGCACTTCGGTCCATTTGCTTTTCACTTGGCATGGAACAGATGCATTGACAATTTCCTGCTCGACTTGATCCAGACAGACAGGTACAGTTTTGGGCTGCGTGCATGAACATATTTTGGGATCTAAACATTCGGGTAGACACGCACGCGCGCACATTATGTTCCTAATATTGTTTGTTTAAATTGATATCACAGACTTTATTGGCTGTGTCCAGCTGACTGTGCATCGCAGTAACATGAAGTCTGGCAAACAGTCCCATAGCACTGTGATACAGGTTAATGAAGAAAGTCGGTACTCTTCGTCTAAAATCACCGCCTTGCATCATGTTAAGCCTTTCTATCATATAACATGCAACATTTTTCTCATTAGCATGTAAGACTTCGGTCAGAAAATGTCCACCAAACAAATTATCCATGTGCCAGGTTGCACTGGATCCAGAATGGGGATGTACATGTCTTGTAAGCGGAATCTGAAAAATATTTATCAGTCAGAGCAGTGAAAGTTCTAGGCCAGTGGTCCCCAACGCGATGCCCGTGGGCACCCGCCAAGGCTTTTTTTGGGTGCCCGCGTTGTTACGGAAAGAGGTTATACTGATCAATGAAGGCCGTTCAACCACGGACATTATAAAATCAAAGCGCAGATCTCGACTTACTGACGCCCTTCTTGACGATTGTTTGCGAGCGACAACATCATCCTACACTCCCAAATTTGAAAAACTGGCTGATGAAATGCAGCGCCAAACATCACACGAACTTCCCACTCGAGTAATAATAATTGTACTTATAAAACTACGTACTTTTGATTGCGTGGTTTCTTGTATCATTAAACGTCGTGTTGTTTTGTGTATTATTTTGTGTCCATATCTTATTTGTCCAGAGAAAAGAAAATTTGGCTTTGTTAATTGGTTGGTGCCCGCCACGATCTCATAAACTCTCGAATGTGCCCCTGGGGACCACTGTTCTAGGCTAAATGTAGACGGATAACTAAAGTGACTGATGCGATCGATGGCAGTTCAGTTTTAGACACTTCTGCACATCTACTGTCATGTGCCATGTCGTCCTCAGTGGACTTGTGGTTAGCACGCTCACCACTGGACCCAAGGTTCGCGGGTTCAATCCCAGCCGAGGTCGTTGGATTTTTAAGGGTGATAAAAATCCGTAGCACAATTTCCTTCGGAGGGGAAATAAAGCCGACCGACCCATTTCGTAGATTTACGGCATGTAAAAGAACCTTACGAGCATGATACCAGATGTTTTGTAAGTGAAATTCAGCGGCCATTTCTCACCCAAGTCTCCTGATTACCTGCTAGATGGCTCTGGCAGTCAAATCAGGATTGAGTAGAAATTGTGCAGAGTCAGTGGACTGGTCACTCACTACTTCACGAACAAGACCAAGAAACCTCGGATAAGGAGGCGGCGAAAACCCACGACAGGATTGTAGAGCCTAGAAACAACAACAACTGTCGTGTGCGATAATGAGCCAGTCAGCTTTAGAGAGTTAGTTCAAGCATGAAGCAGATGCCATTTGTATCTCTCTCTGTTTCTGTGCCGCCCAACTTCGTTTACGTCTTTTACTTTTGAAGGTGTGACAGATTTCACAGTCACAACAGGACACAAATTATTATAACTTTCTGGCCAAGTTATTTTTCTGCACGAGTCCATTTTGGCCTGCTGATCTATGGTTTTTGAATTTTTTTTTCAATTATTCTCAGCATGTGTTTGGCAACTTTTTCCAGGCTTGATGAAACTGTAGCCCTCATCCAGTTGTACCACATAGTTAACCCTGAAGCAGAATCAGCGAGTGCCAAGTACAAACCTGGACTGGAGCATAAATTCATTCAGGTAATGTGATTTCTGTGATATAATTCAAGATTTGAGACTCAGATGTCAGTCTTTAAGATTTTGTCTGTGTAAGGCCATTGTCAGTACGCACATAGACTAGTCTGATGCCGTAACACTTGCGTCCCCGCTGCCGTAATATTACCGCATGGGATCGGATTAAAAACACGGCTTTAGTAATGTAACAGCATTTGAATTATAATTTTTTGATCTCATATCATAACAGCTGTTTACAGCGTGGTTTTATGGTGGTGGTATGGTGGTATGGCGTTTATTTTATAAGCCTTTGAAGCAATTGTGGAGCATAGAAGCTTTGACATAACGCCAGCTGGTGCTGGGAGGCTTCATAACCAGAAAACTCTCACCAGACAAGTATGTCGAGGATGAAACATTGGTAAAGTTCAGCTAGACTAAGATGGCTGTCTTCTGGGTTGTTGCGCTGTGTAGTCTGGTAGAAGTTTACCAACGTTTCAGAGGTCAGTGCTGCCTCCATCAGGGTGATGAATAAGTAAATTTTTTTAGTGGACAGGACGTCATTTACTATCATGCATTTATATCAGCTGCATGGTGTATGTTCCCCATTCACGCGAGTAATTTCTTTTGAATCTTCTGTTGCAGGCTTATGTGGAGTCAGACTCCAAAAAGAGGAGCGTGTTAGAGCTGGCCCTGCAGGCAAACGTAGAGCTACACAAACAAAGGGCAGAGACGGAGGCAGGGATCCGCAGAGCACACGGTCATGCTTAGAAACCAGTGATGGTGGGGAGACATGGTAATCGGAATCTTGTGAGATGTGGTTAAGAGTTTTGTAGTGTCTGCCATTTGAAGTGTTTTCACTCTGAAATTGTGACTGCTTCTCCTTCTGCCCTGAAACTTCTTTTTTGTATCAGTGCAGCTTCTGCAGTAAACAAATCACTGATTAAACTAACTTTTTGATTATCCCTGTAAATGTACTGGGAATGACCCGTTCTTCAAGTGCCTGAGCACTGCAGGTCCCAACTTTTCGTTGGCTTGATCTATAGATATTTGGTACGACTCCATGGACGAGGGATCGGCCCGTCGCAAGGCCTCTACCTGTACACAGGACAGCACGACACAGA